AAGGATAACTGAAAAGTGTTACCTCGAGAATTTAAGGTCTTTCTATATATTTTTAACACGACGATGCGATAAGGAAGAACATTCAGGGAGAGTGTTTGTAATAACACACCCGTTTCTCTACATTTCTAGTTTAAGAACACGTGGCGCTTAACTAGTGTCTGATGATAATCACAACACTCACCTCCAAAGCAGCAAGGTCGTTGTACGGAATGAGTTCAAAGCCTGGCATAAAAGGACCGTATTCACCGTAACAGTCTGGATCAGATGACGATGACACCGCGGCTAACGTCCTTCCCCAAAAATTCTCTTCAGCGAAGACAATTTTGCCTTTGTTTGCTGGAATTCCCTTCACCTGATAACCCCATTTTCGCGCCAACTTACAAGCTGTTTCACCTCCCTCGACTCCCGTGTTCATGGGCAGTAGTTTGTCATAGCCAAAAAGTTTTGTAGCAAACTCTTCGAATTCCCCCAAAACATCGTTATAAAACGCTCTAGAGGTCAGCGTCAAGATTTCTGCTTGGTCTTGAAGCGTTTTCACAATTCGAGGATGGCAATGTCCTTGGTTCACAGCCGAGTAAGCGGCGAGAAAGTCGAAGTATCGCTTTCCAGTCACATCCCAGACGAATACTCCTTCACCCTTTGCCAAAGCTGCTGGAAGAGGATGGTAGTTGTGGGCGCCATAAGTGTCCTCCCGCTTGAAAATTTCTTCAGGCGTGAGCTGATGTTTGGTCGCAGCGGCTGGAGTAGAATACAATCTCGTCACACGAAACAGATTTCTGTTCAATGGACGAGCACAAAGGCGAAGCATTTTTAGCGGTTTAAAGTACAAATTAAAACGAAAAAAAAAGGGCGAATCACAAAAAATACAGTTTCGTCTTTCAAATTATAACCCAATTTTTTAACGTAACAACGGTTACACCGTCATGAAATTCCTATTCCACTCCAACCACAACGACCGTGAGAGAGAGAACCACTAGTGGTGAGGACTTGTTTATATTCTCATTGGAGAAATACCATATTTGGATATGACGGCCCAATCCCTCGCCGTCAAGGTTGCACTCTTCATTGTTTAACCCCATTGAGAAAGCACAGAAAAAGCACAAACAAGCAAAAAGCAGAAAATATCAATACATCTTGTGAAGAAAGGAAAATGGTAATTTGTGATCCCATTAGTGATTGATGATCATTTTGTTATCAATCTCCCATGCTATACAGCACTATGAAAACAGCTAAAACAAAAAAAAACAGCATTTCAAGCTTGCAGCACACTGAAAGTATGAATCCCTTATCCCCTGTCTTGGTTTAGGGTCCATTTGTGGGTTCTATTATAAATTACCTCTCCCACCTCTTTCGTGGACCAATCTAAGTCCCTGTCCTGACTCCACCCTTTGTGGACTATTGGATGCTAATCCCACTTGGGAGACATAGGGCTATGAGTTTTTCTAGAACCCTCACCTTTAATATAATTAGGCTAGGTAGAATTATCTATGCTAGAGAGGGATAGATTACTTTCAAACCAATGCTTTGTACTTATCCATTATGATCCTGCCTCTAGAGCTAGGTCCCTTACCCTCCCCACCCCCCCCCCCCATAAAAAAACAACAACAACAAAGTAAAGACCATGATCATAAAGCAAACACTATGTGATTTATTTGCAGTTCTGGAAAATTCCATAATTATGAACATGATTAACAGTTAAATTGCTATTATCAACTGAGTTAACATAAATTGGCCACTGTAAAGAGTTTCAAAACCCTCTTCACCATAAAGAAACTCTTTACAAAGGCCGATTTTTTTTATTGACTCAGTTGATAATGTTGATAATACCAAATTACCCTGTTATACCCTTCCACTGGCACAGCACCACGGTTTATTCAGAAATTTACCTCCTCTAAAATGTTATCATGTTTGTTACACAAAGGATACCCGTGCATATTTTTTTTTGACACAATTAATTTAAATTCCTGGTTCTTAATAATGTTAATAATTGCAAAAACCAAATTCCACGAATGAAACTGAACTACCATCGATAATATAAAAAACTGTCACTCACCACTAAATTAATTTATGGTATATAAAATTTTAACTCCCATATTTTGATTAACTTGAACACACATTCACATATGCTTAACCATTAAGCCACCAAAAGCGATTAACATGTAACTTCTCCCAATAATATCCACACACTGTTCAGCAAACAGGTAATAAGAATACTTAAACTTATCAGTTAGAAGTTGTTGTCTTGATCTAACACCAAATTCTCGTAACTAATCAACAAGGAAATGTGTAGCAGCTGGAGAGGAGAATTAACAAGTAGATCTTGGGAGTTACAGGGTTAAATTCCTTCAAAAATTTAGAAAATCCTATGTAACATTGCATAAATTCCCAATGCTTGAGACCAAGACCATGAAAAATATCTTATTTCTTCTAATAACTTATCTTTGTAACTTAAATAGGATGAATTCATGAATTATTGCATATGTATGCTGCAGAAAAATATGTTTTCTATTTCTACCATCTAATACATTTCATAAAATTTACTATTATTCCTTGTTTGAGATTCCAAAGAGTTGCAAAACCTGTTGTTAGTTGTCTTCAAATGAGCAAAAAATTTAATTATGGAATATATCACTTTGGAGAAAAAAAACTTTGGTAACCTGGCCACAATGACATGGCACTGAGGAATTCAACCTGAATGATGGAAACCACATTGTGTGGATGACAATTCTTTGCTGGACAAGACGTCAAATGGGGCTACCAACAGCCCAAATTTTAAGACAGTCAGACACAATTTTCAAAAGGTTACCAGGCAACTCTTCGGAAACTTGCAATTTAGGTGGAGGTAAAAATTATATGGTTACTTCCACATACCTCTAATGTAGTTGATTTAAAATTTTATTGCAATTGAACCTTACAGAAAGTATACCAAAATTCACTTGATACACTGGGTGATTAAAAAATGTTAGCATGCTATAAGATGCACACAACAATTGCACATAAATTCTGATCAATTCCTCTTAATAAATTAATAGTAATATCATGATTCAAAGTCCCTTGTTGAAGTACACATATTTCAGTGGAGTTCCTCCTCTTTGTTTGATGATTTCTTGAAGTTCAGGTTCAAGTTTTGAGACTGCTATAGAGCTGCAAGGTGGAAAGGCAAAAAACAACTCGTTTTATAGCTGGAAAATAATCACAATTGCTCAATAATTGTTATTGTGTTTTTTTTACTGTTCTTCTCCTACAGTTCAAGGCAATACACTGTAGTCACTCCTACATGTATCTCTTTCCATCCTAAATTTATCTCCCATAACCTCTTGCTTCCCATTAAGAGGAAAGGGGTTGCACAGTAGTATTTTGTGGTGCATAATTTGTGGATTTCATCTTTTGAAAAATGTGATTTTGATGAGGCATTCTTCATGTAATCTGTGAACCAAACACTTGGTGTAAACCACGATAGCCTTGGTATTTATGATTTCACCACTAACTCTAAAGTAGTAAATTCCTACAAAGATAAAATGAGGGATCTGACAACTTTCATTGTTGCCAGTTTTCATAGGGACATTTGACAAATCACAGCATTAATGAATGCTGACAATTGGAAAAAACAGTCTAGAAGCTGTTTACTGATTTTCTATTTGCATATTTTTGGTCAAAGTTTGCATAATATGTTCATCATTAATCACCCACTTCACACTTGCTGATTAGGGTAAAAGCTGAATAAATGGTTTTAACAGGAGTCCTGCACAATTTCAACTACAATGTTTTGGCGTTTTCAACTTCAGGAAATTAAACTGGAAAGTATTCCAGCCTATAATACAGTGTACTAACCTCTTTTGTGGAAAGATTGCACAACACAGGGGAGTTGCAAACACCAAGCTTAAAAGAATAAAAGAAAAAGCACTATAAGTCCCAAAAAAAGGTGAAGTGATCTCCTCAAGTTGACAACCACAGGAAATAAACCATAGAAGAATTCCAAAAACTACCTTGCACCATAACCTCGAAAGCCAGTGTGATGCTTTGAATCCCTTATTCTTCTTGGAGTACTGGTTCTTTTTTTTCATTTTAAGCAAATTCTTAAATTTCAAGAGGCTGGTATTGCTCTTATTCACCAATCATTACTAAAAAGTTATATACCACTGTCTTTTTCTTAGAATCCTTTCCAAGTTAATATAATATCAAAACTTTTGAATAAATATGGTATCAGTCTCAAGGTATGGTTGTCTAAATGTATCATACTCACCACAATCCCACTAATCCAACTTGAATTGGAGAAGCTAAAATTGGCCACCGCTAAGATTATAACAAAGACAGAATTTTTATATATCATATTCAAACATTATCTAATGAAAAACAAACACCACCCTCTGAAGAGGTGATGTCAAGAAGCCATTGGTGTATAATACCCATATTTCATCAACAATTATAATCAAATAAACAAATAAATTCATTACCTTACACATTTGTTCACATTTGTTCACATTTGTTCATTCATAAGTTTACTAAACTATACAATCATTTCTTTATTAAACTATTCAGTCACTTAACATTTGCCAGTACATTTGAACCTATTTCAGTCCATAAAAATGACAAAAATTTAAAATTTAGCAAAGCTGGGTTAGAGAAAAAGAAATGGAGACAAAAGACAAACTTGTTTAACCAAAGCTTACCTTCATAAATGGCTTTGTATCTAGATAGTTCATTATAATTGGTGGGATAGCTGAAAGTAAAAGGTGCAAAATGTTAAAATACTGTTAAGTGGTTTACTGCAAGTTTACAAACACATCCACTACAAGCCTGCCCAGAGGACCCTAATCATAGCCAAATGGGAGTAGCCCAATGAAGAAAACTAACAAGCACTCAGAGTATCTTGGCTTGCCTTTATCTAGTAGTTTTGTGTGCCTTTCAAGTAGCTTGTTTTAATGGCTCTATACTGCTGGACATCTCAAATTACATTGCACATGAAACCAACACCATAGCAAGCTAAAACATCTTCTCCACTTTTGTGGTGATCAACCTAATAATTATAAGTTAATAAAAATCTCATAGATTCAACAATATTGCCAGTCACTAAAGCATCCAAAAAAACTCCGATACAATATTGTAATATGCTGTTGACTAATGAAGAAAATATGAGCGATGCAATTAATTCTTGATAATTTACATGTTAAAGGACTGTTGGCTTACTTAAGTAGTATTAATAATAATTTATTATGACAATGTCTAACATTAAATGACATTATGAACCATGGAAAAAACTCATTATGGTAAGCTTACACATTCCAGGAGATGCCATAACTATTCTGGAAAACACAACACTTCCTATGGCTTTCCGTGCTGCAGCCTGAAATGTGAAAAGAGCAGATAAAAATGTATTGGCTGAGCTGGCAGACTTTATACAAATTTGGTGCAATATGTTGAACTGAAAATAAATGATGGGAGGTCAAACTGTCTGAGTAAAAGTGAAGAACAGTTCTCCATAGCAGACTACTGGTTGTCTGTCAGCAAATCTTGGCTATTTCCCATCAACTCAAGCAGTTTCTGGGCCAGCAAGATTTAACTAAAGCATAGGCAAGGTGTGGTACAGAGTGAAACATCTTTTTACATTATAGAGAGTAAGAAAGGAGGTAAATTCTGAGCTGACTGGTGAAATAAAAAAAAATTATTATTTAAAAATGCACTCAAGTAGAATAAAAAATTTGTGGGAAACTGAGCAATTTTTTTTTGAAGGGGGAGGGGGGTCGAGGATGGACAAAAGGAAAAATAATGACTTCTATATTAAGTTAGTATAATCTGAAAAAAAAACTGCAATTGAAGAAAATGCTCACCTTTGATTCTCCAATTCTGTTTCCATCTTCATCAGTTACAGGAATTCCCCTCAATAACTCCCTGCAATCAGAAACAAATTACTTACTTAATTAAAGAAAGACAAGTATAAAATTAATCAAACTCTTTTCTACTTCAAAGTAAAACAGCTAACTGATGAAGAGAAAAATGTGAGATCCAGGATTTCAAGTCCCATGCAAATAAAGGAAGATCAATCAAATCTAGGATAAATCAAGATTTTCATTCTGTTGATGCAATAATCATACTAAAAAAGGACAAGTTAGTGCTCCTTTGAAGCAATTGTATTTGTACCATGTAAAAAAAATCAAACCTATTTTACTGTCATGTAAGAGATATGCACTGAAAACAATTATTTAAAACTTAATAATAAACATGAAGAAATTACACCCTTCTGATTGACTGAAAATGAGTGCATGTAACAGAGTGCAAAGTTGTAACATAAATGCAAACTACAAGTACATTTAGCATGCACATCCTTCTTAACTTTCTGTGATGTTTTTTCATGTGCCTTATCAACAAATAATAACATGATTTCTCTTGCAATTTGGTGTAATAAGCACTTGTTAATTTTTCAGACTGCAAATTGCACTTGCCCTACTAGGTCATGCAATTTTGTCGTCTTAGAAAAATTTACTCTTGCCTATTAACACCAAATATCACTTGAAATCACGTTATTACCTAATTTTTATACTTATAGTCAGCAAGGAGAGTTCACATACGTTTGTCGCATAAGAGGAATGTTCACACAGTTTGCCGCAGCAACAGCGGCAAATGGAACAAATCTACCAATCAAAGGTGGAGCTGACTGTAAAATTAAACAATCAAAATTAATGGTTATCCCAAATAGACTTATAATAGGCAGTAAAGTTTGAACTTTATAATCCTTTGGAGTTATTGGATTATGGGAACAAATCAGTGCCCTTCTCACAAAAATCATGTTGGTTGTTGATGGTGTTACAAAGTGCAGATAACAGATAACTTTTCGTCAGTTGCTTAACCAAAACACAGCAGCAGACTCATGAAATAAAATATTTTATTTAGGTTTTCTGTCCACTGGGCACCTGACAAACTTCTAGATCTACAGTTAGACCAAAAACTTCTACAAGTCCATGGTTGACCATTGCCTGGCCTGTCTAATAACTGAGTTTAAACATGTTTACTGCTGGCCTATTGAATATGCAAAAGGGGACTGCACTTCACCTTAGTTAAGTGGTTTAATCCCAAGGCAACAGCAACAGCTCCTGTTGTGGCAAATGCATATCCCATTCCCAACTGTCTGTGTCAAAGGAATTAATAGTTATTAATATCATTCAAAGTAACATAATATTCATTGATGGTAATCGGTGGTTAGTAGTTCTGAAGAGTTATTTTATTGTTAATACTAAGACAGTGAGACAGAGATAGCACAAAAAGATGATTTTAACTTATTTATTCATTCCACAATTACAATATGTTTGGGTATAAATCCCATTGCATTCCTAGGAGGTGAATAGCAAAAGATATTCGGAGTATGATTAGCCAATCAGAGCATGCCTTCAATGCTATCCACTGTTTTAGTATACACTATAAATACTTAACATTTAAAACAGATTATGAGACACCACTGAGGCGAATAACTGTTTTGGTATAATTGTTCAGGCACTTTCAAATTCTGTTATAAATTCTGTAAATAAGGAAAGCTCTGTGCATAGTTTGTATAATTGCAGTGATGACTTGTATCAAGATGAGCAAGAAGTTTACCAGGTTTATTCAATTAAATCAGTAAAAACTTAATAACTTTCTTTTGAAAAGTGTTCTATCAGTCTCAGTAGCATCTTTTGTGCTCTTCTCAACTAAATTTTGTTTATCATTTCCTCAGACACATTGACAAAATGCAATGCAGCCACCTTGAAATTGGAATATGACAAGAAATGAAAATAGCAAGATATGATGCAATCCTCAGCCAATCAGAGCATGCACATCTCCAAAATCACCTGAACAATTATACTAAAATATAGATATTCTACAAACACAAGAAATATGGCATGAAATAAATTGTCAAAGAACAAGATATCATCTTACTCATTTGTTATCAGAGAGTCACCACTCCGGTTTGTGTAGTTCACTACTGCATTAAATGACTGATTGATCCACTGCCAGAAGAGAACAGCTGACGTGCTCCTGAAAAAAAATTCATTAATAATGATTTCAGGCATTCTGAAAATTTAGAGCTTCACCAAAGTTTCATAACATTATTATAATAGATTTAAACTGAAACTACCAGATTCAAAATGTTGCTGATTTTTCACCCATTTCTGCCAAGAGTTTATCCCCTTAGATTCCCATGAGTGACCAAGACAGAATTTCTCCTTACAATATTGAAACAAAATCAAGTAGACAAATTTTGAGAATAAAGAAAAATATCAGTTAGGGGATTATACAATGATCCAATACCAAATTCTCCAAACTAACATCACAAAAACTGTATAGGAGAAAGTAAGGAGAATTACTAATGAGATCTTGGGAGTTAGAGCTAGGGTTAAAGGGTATACAAGCAAGGGATACATTGTATGCCCTCTCAATACTGGTTACACTACAACATGAAATAAAACATGAGATACTAACTTGTAAAATGTCAACATACAACCACATATTGACATGTTCATTGGTACTTGTGCTGACATTCGTCCAATAATGAACATTTTATCTCCTGTATCAGGATGGAAAGCTGACTCATAGACTTTCTTAGCAGTCCATATTTGAGCATCAGTGGTTCCAGCAGGTTCTTTTTTCTGCCTGCAAAAATTGATGAGTAACTAGTAATAAGTGTAAAATTTAGAGCCTTTCTTATTTGATAACCTAAATCTAACACTGTAATGCTATTGAATCATGTTGGCTGAACAAAAAGAACTCACAGCAGTAGGAAACAAGAAACATATTAATTAAAATATTTGCAAATAAGCTCTGAAACAAAAAAGCAATTACACAAATACAATCCTTATTCTTTGAAGTGTGTCTGAGTGTTCGTCTGTCTTCCCTTCTTGTTCTCTTTCTATGTCTTTTTCACTTTTTTAACCTAAGCTTAAGATCACAACCTTATATGGGTAAGGATAATATTTATCATATATTCCATACAGCCCATGTGCATTTCTATTGAAAAATACTTCTTAAAATCCCTGCATGGTGGGCATACACAATGAAGCAAGCAGAGCTAGAAAAAGTCCTACAGCTTTGTGAAAGAAGAAAGGAAGAAGGAGAAAGAAACTCCATCCTTCTATAAAATGCTTAATAAATGAGTCAGGCTGAGTTGAACAAGACAATATTTTACACCAGGTCTCTTTGTTAAAAGCCTGAGCCAGATATTTTCCCTTCAAGCCCTTCAACAAAGTCGAAAAGTATATATAATAGATAGCATTACAATCACAAAATTGGTATTTAAAATTGTAATACTAGTAAAGAATTATTACAGGAGAGTCCATTATAAGAGATTTATTGGCTTCCACTGGCCACCTTAAAACTGGAGTTAAGCACTGGCCACTTGGGCCTGTATAAAGGCTTACTGGCAACCTTGTCTCATTCATGTTTTTTAAGTATCATATCTTTTTTTAACCCTTTAAATCCAAAGATCTGATTGTTAATTCTCCCCTGTAGCTGCTACACATTTCCTTGTAAATTAGTTATGGGAACTTGGTGCCAGATCACAATAGCAGCTTCTACCCGATAAATTTGAATATTCTTATTACCTGTTTGCTGAAGAATGTATGGATATTGTAGGGAGAAGTTTTATGTTAATCACTTCTGGGAGTTAAAGGGTTAATGTAACTGTAAGGCAAAATCAATTAGCTAAATTGAACTTGGTACTTCCCAGGACAATTGGTTTCTTACCTGTACTTTAGAAGAAGTTCTTTTGCATCATCAAGTTCTTTCGCTGAACGCAAAATATTCTTTGGGTCGGTAACTGTGAAAAAGTGTTTAGCACGTCCAAGAAATGTTGATTGGTCATAACGAGGGGCATCCAAATTAATTCTTCCACCTTCCAATCTTGGCGTTTCCATGTTTCTTAATAAAGGAAAAAAAGTGTATTTTGTTGCATCATTTATTTATAATGTCTCCAGTAACATTCTAAACGAAGCAAACCTACGTAAAATACTAACAAGATTTTTACATTGGGGGAATCCTACAGGATTCTCTTTATGGAATTTTTTTCTTAATGCAGAGGGAGTTCAAGTGCATAAACATTTTGACTGACCTTATCATATGAAGAAGATAAGTATTACTTGACAAAGGACATATCTTTATTACTAGGACATTCATCACAATGAATAAACAAAACCTATTCACAAAGTAATCAAGCAAATGATCACTACATTTTGTAATCAGCTAAGCTGGGTGCAATCTGGGTTAAATTGTACTTCATCGATTAATTTCTCAAAAATAAGAAAATGAAATGTAACATGTAGTATTACGTTTAATTTACGCGTTAGCATTCTCATCAAAAGTACCGGTAGGCGATACGTTTATTTGTAAACGTACTTGAGATTCAATTTGACTCACGGGGCTCTGGTACCTGTTCGCCGTAGTAATACATTCACGTTAACCGTTTGAAACAAAAAGATTTTACTGTTTGCCTAAAATAAGATATATCCTAAAATGGAGCAACAGCTATCAATCGAGAATTTACAAAAATGTACGAGGTGCGCTAACTAATTATATTTCAAATTCACGTCTATCAAATCGAGTTTTCTGTATCACGAAGTAGTTTCAAAGAATCGATCTACGCACCGTGGAGTGAAACCCACGAAATAGAGAAAGCAATAATCAAATCACTTAAGTTCGTAAATTAGTTTTCCTTACCAGAATATTACACGTGGAACTGTGCCTCGGAATTTCCCAACACAAGAGAAGTCTTTCTGCTCTTGTTTCTTTCCCGCTGTAGATTCCCGGCATTCATCTGAAGCCGAAAGGGGGCGTTACAGTGGGCGGGTAAGGAGCCTCGCTCCCATGGTCGACCCAGGGTCTTTCCCTGAGAGCGAAGTTTGTTTCACATGGGAGATTTGCTTAGAAAATTCAAAATGGATAAATAACTCAAAAGGTTTACTATAGTCTTTCCACGATAAGCACTCTTAGCCTTTGCTATCTGAGTGGGTGAACGTGAAAAGTGATTCGGAGAGAAAAGAAAGATTTGAGACTAAAGTCCATTTACTTTTTTCGCGAGCTCCCCCATCTTCAATGACAATTTTTTTTCGCAATCAGGATCATAAATGTTTCTCGACAATGTTGACAAGCATTTGAAAACACATTGAACCGCCCATGTAAGCTGTGAAAACTCCGAAGCAAATCTGCACCTTGGCGCGTATTTCTTGGGTGGGTGTGGGTCGTTTTGGTGCCCCAATGCGAATACAATTTGCGAATTTCTTAGGCCTTGATTCTTCACATATCCCTAAAAAAATCACCTCCCTGTGCTACTGTCACACGCATAGTCGTTGACCTTATTAGGTGCAAATTACGTGAAATACATTTATACAGGTTTGAAAAAAACTTTTTGCATGATTTGTTTGAATCGATCAGTTCACTGATTGCGGCAAAGAAGGAAAAGGAACCACTTGAGTGATACGAAAGGGACAAAACTTTGAGTTGCAAAGCCACAAGTTCGAGCTGAGGAATTCAAGAAGTAAAGGATCCAGAGTTACCGTAGCCTGCAGTGCTTCGGTAAGGGATTAAGTAAGGTATCCAGCTATAGCGGGGTAACCACACCTTTCACGCGCGCTTAAGCTCAACCTGCGCGCATAAGCCGTGCCACACGTGCCTCTCTGGCCATCTCCGATGATAATACACCGCAAGCTACAGTCTGTGAAATACTACGCTACTGAGGGCAATACCGCCGGTAACGATCCTAGAATGAGCAATCTCACCGCACTGGGTTGCATTTTATCTTTACTACCCCTCCCGTTAAAGTTCTGGGCTGAAATGGACTTGGTTCGTATGAGTAGAGACTGGTACTAGTTCTGAATTAAAGAAACATGGTGGTTCGTTTGCATCATGTCGAAATACGTTGTCAAAATCTTCAGCAAAGTTTGAGGCAATTATGCGGACACTTTGGGTTTAGAGTGCTTGCTTCGTCTTCCTTTCCTAATCGGGTCACTCTGAACCGGGACTCTATAAACTTTGTTCTGAGCGAAGGCGCCGGTGAGCGAGACACCGTTTACAATGTTGCCCTTGAAGTCAAAGATGTGAAAAATGTGGTGGATAATGTAGAAAGAAATGACGGGAAAATTATCAAAAGACCAGAAACATTGGCTGATAGCAATGGAGTGGTGGAATCTGCCGTTATACAAACTCCTGTAGGGAACGTTGTTCACACATTGTTAAATGCTTCTGGTTACAACGGTGTGTTTTTGCCGGGTTTTCATCGAAGTGACAAGAGAGCGTTACGCGAAGGATTTGATTATGTAACCCCATCGATCACGTCAAACAAGAATACAGTGATTGGCGATCGTATTTTAACACACTTTGATCACATTACGTTTGCATGCTCGTTAGGGACTTCTCAGGCGATAATGAAATGGTATGAGCGATGTTTTGGGTTTAGTAGGTTTAATATCAGCTCTGACGAGAAATCGGACGGCTTCATTGTGCAGAGCTCAATACAAGGAGCGAGCATCGGGATGAAGTTGGCAGCCATGCAGTATTGGTTTTGCTCGGAATCAGAGCTGAGAATAGACACCGATGAACCAGGAGGAGGCGTAAAGTTCGTTTTCGCAGAACCTCTCCCTGGACAAGGTTAGAACATTTGTTTCAATTGACAAAATCATTCAGGGTTGTGTAATAAACCCT